TTGTACTATATCAAAGATTAAGCTAATAAAAACCAACTGGCATTGTCGCCAAAGTTAAAAAAAAAAAAAAAAAAAAAAATATTAACTGATAAAAGCAACATTTTTAATAAAATTTTAACAATACTTATGATGTTATCAAAACAGAAATATAAGCTAAGAAAAACTCTTTTCAACAATATTACTATTCTTCTTAATATCATAATCAATACAAAAAATTTAAAGATTAAAATCAACCTAACAGAAGAAAAAATTAGTATAAAAAATGCATTCTGTCAATTCTATATAGACCTGCTACCTAATACAGTACTAAACTCTATCTTTATCTTCTTTATAATAAATACACCAACTACTTATACTATTTACCAAATACCTAAAACTTTACAACAAGCAGAAGCAATCATCACATGAAATAATCAGAAGTGCATCAAACATATTTCTGACAATTTTCTAAACATCAATTAGAAACTTATATTCAAATATCTCAATTTTAAAAACAAACCTCTTAGTTTTTTTTTTTTTTTTTTTTTTAAGATAACCTCTTTGGTCTTTTGACTTTTATTAATCACTTATCAGTATTGTGGTTCAATGAACTACTACAGGAGAGCATACAATTGGCTATATATGTAACTTTTCTATATTACCTATTTAAGAAGTTTGCCTAAAGGTTTTTCACCAATTGTTGTACTTAACACCCCTGCTTGGATGTTCCACTTTAAACCCTCTGAACCTATAACCTGTATTAACATTACTGAGTTATCCTAGATGCCCAGATCATCATCTCAACCTTAGGACTAATTTATCCTCGAGATAAACCCCCCAGAGCCTTCTGTACTCATTTTTACAGCTGACCTAGGTATCACTATGGCAGAACCAACACTTGCAGTTAGGGCTGACCATTAAACCACTATGCCCTTGTAGAGTTCACACAAACTCTAGCATCTACTTCACAGCATATCTGAAATACTTTAGTATATCTTTGCTGGTTTACCTAGGGCTTAAGCCCACTCACCCACCAACCCAGGAACTGATATTTATTGTGGTTATCCAGAATAATTATGCTTACCCAGTTGACTCGTAAAATTTTTTAATTCCTAATTTAGAAAAATAATGTAATTTGGATTTGCGATATGTCATGTATTGGTAAGTGCCTATATTAGGATTTTAATTTGACACACAAGAAATGAGCGTTTCAAAATTAAAACCAGATTTATAATTCAACATAGTAAAACTGCTATTTAAAAAATCCTACTTATATTCAAAATATGTCACTTATTTTTAATTTTAAAACCCTTAATGCATTTATATTTGCTTGTTGAATACATTTCGAAACAAAATTTTTATTAGAAGCACAGCTTTATTTATACATTTCAACGATTCCGATTGTTATTATAACATTTATTTATATGCTATATTTTGTAATTATCAGATTTTGTGCTAGAATTTTTTAATATTTATTATATTAACATTGGGTTTCAAAATTAACAAGTAAATAGCACATTTTTGAAAATAAGTAGGGTTTTTTAAATAGCATTTTTACTATGTTGAATTATAATTTAGAAACCCCTATTATCATTATTAATTTTTATCGCATTATTTTTACATTGGGGGTTTCAAAATTAAATTCAGAGTATTTTATTTTATTTTTCATTTTATAATTCAACATAGTAAAAATGCTATTTAAAAATTTCTACTTATTTTCGAAATGTGCCATTTATTTGTTAATTTTGAATAAATTTGCTAAATCTATTTTTTTATAATATATAAGTTTGGTTTTTAATCAAAAATATTGTTTCGCAGATAGTAATTTTCTTTAGAGTATGTTAGTGAATTCTCATTGCCCATTTCTTGTAAACATTATTCTCTTACTTCATACTTGGTAATTGAGTTTTCTTAACTTTTTTCGTCCAAATTTCTCAACTTTAAGTAAAATGTATTCAGAATAATTAAATGTATTGATCAAAATTTGTATTTAAAGCCTCTTTTTCATATTTAATAAAATTTCATCGAATTCAATTTGACTTCTAAATAAACGAATAAATGAATCATGTTTTTTGATAAAACTTAAATTTATTTAAGTATTGTAAAATAAACTATAAACCTGGTCTTAGAATGATACTGACAAGGACCACATATTTTTTTTCTTAATTATTCATCTTGCTTATATCTTTACGTATAAGATTGTTATAAATAGGATTATTATGCATAGAATCGTTATGCATAAAATCATTATGCATAAGATCATTGCGCATAGCATTATAGTCATTATGTTAGTATGATTCAACAGTAAATAGTTTTATATCTGCATAATGATCTAGAGAATAGAAGTTAGACGTTAGTAGTTGTAATTTATATAAAAAGACATGTAGAAAGTTCTTGTAGAGGCAGATTTTAAATGTCTTCTATACTTATAATAAAAGTTATTTCTTAAAATCCACATTCTTAACATTTCGTTAGTTGATTATTTCGATTATAGTATATACATAATATCTCTTTTCTTTTGTAATTCAAGCTCATTTTTATACTTGTTTAAATAAAAATGGATTCTCAGAAAGAGTCAAGCTCAAGCCTTTATAAAACATATATGGATCAGAGTGATAATGAAGCTAATAATACCAACACATCTTCAACAGCCAAATTAATTAGCTCTAAAAAAAAAAAGAGGTAGAAATAAATCAAGTTTCGTATAGAAATATTTTAAAGTAATTGGAGATAAAGATGTATGTCAAATAGAAATTAGAAAAGACAAAAAATGTGAACAAGAATATTTGCATGATAAATCAACATCAAATATGATCTCTCACCTACGAATACAACATAATATTGTTGATAACAAAAGGCTTAAGTCTGAAATACAACAAATTCGACAAACTACTTTACCTAATATAATCAAAAATAATATTCCACATAAAGGTGCCAAAAGAAAAGAAATAGTAAGAGCTGTAATTGAATGGATACTTCTTGACAACGAACCATTATCAGCACCAAGTAAAAAAGGGTTTCGTCAAATGATTTTAAAAATTGATCCGAAGTTTCGTTCACCTTCTGACAGATTTATAAAAAGTGAAATAGAATTTAGTTATTTAAGAAATATTGAATTTCTCTGACAAGAAATTCAAACATCTTGTGAAACTGCCACAATTACTGCTGATTTGTGGACATCCTATAAAAATGAAGGTTATATTGGTGTTACTTGTCATTGGATAACTCCCGATTGGTCATTGCGTAGTGTATTGTTATGTTGTGAAAAAATAAAATATCCACATATTGCAGAATCAATCCATCAATTTCTTTTAAAAAAATGTAATGAATTCAAACTTGATAATAAAACTATATATGCTGTTACTGACAATGGCGCCAATATGACAAAAGCTATTTGGTTATAGAATTCTGTTACCAAAATTCCATGTGCTGCGCACACCTTACAGCTAACAGTTAATCATATCCTAAAAAAGGTTAACTTACATATAAAAAAAATAAAAAAACTTGTTTATTTTTTTGATTCACCAAAATAGCAAGAAAGATTGGAAAAAGCACAAATTAGAGTAATGGAAAGAGACAGATTGCCTTTACCTCAATCAACAAATATTAAATCATATCTTGAAAATGAAGAGCCTGGAGAAATCGATAATGGGAACAATACAGATTTGGAACAATCATTAATTATAAATACTGTTTCAAAAGTTCTTCATTTAATTAAAGATTGTCCTACCAGATGGAATTCGGAATATCACTCTTGGAAAAGACTATTAAAATTAAAAGTTGCGATTATTTGGTTAGAGGCAAATTTAAAAATTTCATGAAATTTAGAGGATAAAAAAGATGGTAAAAAACTTAAAAGTTTTTTACCTAATGAGAATGAATAGAAATTGGTTGAAGAATTAATTAAAATTTTTGAACCCTTTAACCACGCAACTGAAAAATTTAGTGCCAAGAATTATTCTACTTTATCAGTTGTCTATCCCATTATTGAAGTTCTAAAGTTTAAATTTGCAATAGATCTGAATTTACTATTGATTGAAGATAGTATTGATAAAGAAAATAGTAAATAAAATTTTTTTTTATAAAATATTCTTAACATATACATAGTATTAAAATAGTATAAAACTATTTCTATTAATATTGAAAATAATATATAACCTTTTGATAATTTCTTATATTAAAACTAAAGTTAACAAAGTTGAAACCAATTTTGTTTTTTTTTAATATTAAATTTCATCTATTAATATAGTCAAATAAAATAATTAAATTAGTTATATATTTATGGCTATATAACTTACTAACAAGTAATTATAAAAATAATATTTTTTAGAATCAGATATAGATAGTGATAATGAATATGAAAATGTTACAGATTTACAAGAAAAACTGAATATTCATTCAGTTGTTGCCCAAGTCAATCAAAGTATTTATAATTCGGTCTAGGAGTATTAGGATGACCCAAATTATACAGGTCTTATAGCAACTCTACTAGACCCAAGGCTTAAAAAAATGCATCCTTGGTCTAATTATATATGTAAAGAAACAATTAGAACATGTCATGAAGAACTTAATACTATAGCTGGTGAAATTCTAGTACAAGCAATTGCCTCACCCAATATGACTTTAGCTAATCAGTACTTTGCATCAATTTATGATGATGATAATGAAGACAATAATAGTAATTTGTCAACTAATGAGCTGAACAAATATTTGGATATTAATAGAGTTTCTATTGCTTCCAAACAAACTTGACCTTTAATATGGTGAAAAGAATGTGAAAAGGAATTTCCAGGTTTAAGTAAATTAGCAAAAAAATACTTAGCTATTTCAGCCACTTCAGTTCCAAGTGAATGCTTGTTCTCAGATGCTGGAAACCAGGTAACTTCAAAGTGATCTTCTCTAAGTCCAAAAACTATTTCTCAAATATTGTTTTTAAAAAGAAATAGTAATTTGATTAGTATCATATAACAGTAGCAAAAACTAGAATTTTAAGAGATAAAACGCAATTGAAGAGTATAAAAAATAGAACATTTCATAGCAAAAATCGTCGAAAGTTGCTATAGTCCTTCAATTGTGATGAAAATATGGCTGAAAAAATTTTGTTCTATTAAGTAAACTTCTCTTTTGCTTCTAAAAAATCGTATAGGAAGTTTTTCCAGTTTTAGTAATGGAAGAATTATTAAAATATGTTAGTAGATCACGAAGTATTATAAGATTTTTACTTATCTGCTACTTTGCATTCTACTATTATATAATAGCAATAGTAATTCTTTGCCAATTTCTACTAGGAGTTTTATACCCTTTAAATTGTGATTTACTCCTTAAATATAAATATTTGTATTCTGAAAACTTTATCATTATAAATATTAAATTATTTAAATAAATTTTGTTCTTTAAAACATGTAAGAGTTGATTTAACATTGAATGCATCATTATTAGCATCATTAGAGATGCTAACGGCTTGACCAGACTTGTATTTTATTACATATTTTAATCGCTATGTAGAGTCGATTGATTCGTTAGCATTGTGCATCTTCATATGCTTATATAATTTAACCAGCTTAACCGGGTTAACCAGGTCAACCAGGTCAACTGAATTATTTAGACAACTTGATTTGGTATTCTGGTAATAATTTTATATTCCGGTTTGTAATCTGGAATGCAAATTTTATATGGGCTTAACCCTTAGATTTACCAAACTTCCAATCCAGATAGCCTGATAGGACTTATAACTGGTCTATTGGTATATTAGGTTGGCCTAATATCCTTTTCCTCTGGCTCGATCTGGTGGCCTGGTTGGTGGTATCCTCCACCTAGAGGTTTTTGCCTGTCTGGCTACTTCGACCTTGGTATCTGTTTCATAAGACTAGCCTTTACAGTAGGGCTGTCGAAGATCTGGCTACCTTTCTACTTGGGTCTTTTCAAATGGACTTCTTGTTACTCAATTTTAACAGATTTACATAACTACAAGGACTTATCTAGTGTTTGCACCATCTATTGCTGGTTTGCATTTCTTTGTATAACCACAACCTTGTTCCAAAGGACAATGTCATGTGACCTGTTACACAAATGCCCTATGACCTACCAGTCATGCTGATGCAACTGTCATTACAGGTATCCTAACCCAATCGTTAATAACAGTTGCTATAATATGAATATTACATAGATGATTATCCAAATTTTTGCCATCGATGGGATTTGAACACCCAACCTACCACTTGGAGGATTGACAACCTGACTACTTCACTAGGTTGCCATACCTATTTAAACCTCTTAGTTGAAATACTGATTCTACAAAATCTACTATAAAAACATTCAAAATCAAAATTCTAACTTCAGAACTACTAATATATCTTAACTTTCATAAAAGAAATCCAAAAACTTATACCAATCTGTACTGTGCAAAGTGCCTAAACATATTAGAAGACACAGTCCATATGCTTATCTGTCCATATAACCAAATAAAATTGAAAGAAATAATAAAAGAAATAATAACAAAAGTCTGCAAAATAGTGTTTCTATGAATTTGAACTGAACTGAACTTTGGTCAAGTTCAGGTTTAGGTTCAGTATTGAACTTTTAATTCAAGTTTAAGTTCAGTTCAGGTTTATAAATTTTAAGTTCAGTTTAGGTTCAGGTTTAATGATCTGCAAAATTTGAAGTTTAGTTCAGGTTTAGGTTCAATGATCTGCAAATTTTAAAGTTCAGTTTAGGTTTAATAAACTTGGTTCATAATCTAAACTAAACTAGAAACATTAATTTTAAATTTTTTTATCAAAAAATCAAAAATTAAGCATCTTTTCTTTAAATTTAAAAATAAAAGTAAATATATACTAATATGATGTATTTTTATGTATAAAACAAAGTTACTTAAAGAATAGAAATAGAATTAATTAGTAAAATTTTAAGAATTATAATATTTTTTATAATTTTATTAATAAAATTATAAAAAATATTATAATTCTTAAAATTTTATTAATTAATTCTATCTCTATTCTCTAAGTAAATTTATTCTATATATAAAAAAAATATATATAATATTGAACTTGAACATGTTTATAAACTTTGAACTGAATCTGAACTGAATCAAATTTTAAGTTCAGGTTCAGTTTAGATTCATAAATTTTATGTTTAGTTCAGGTTCATGTTTAATGATCTGCAAAATTTGAAGTTTAGTTCAGCTTCAATGAACTTGATTCATAAATCTAAATTGAACTGAACTAAACCTAAAAATACTACTGCAAAGATAATAAAATTGAAACAACAATATCAACAAATCTAGCTCAAAAAATACAAAACATTCATATAGATCAACAAATCCTAATTGGAATTATAACAAATAACTTACTTGAACTAGGTTCGCTAAAAAAGAACTTACTACCAAACATTTACCACTGAATTACAAAAAAGATACACTCTTTTTAAAACACATTCATTATTACAACTACTCATAACTAAACAACTTCAAATATGCACTCACAATAATAATTAAAATTGACTATAGTGAATGCTATATATATTTTCCAAATGAATCTCAACTTTTATCTGAATATTTCTTTCCACAACTATCAGGCTATACTTATTATCCATCTATACCTATTCCTTCTAAATTCTCTCTAATAAACAATAATATATCAAATACTAATCTAATTATAAAGGAAAGTAACATAGACTACAATTACTTTCAATTAGTAGGAACCATCCTAAAAGGTTATGATGAAACTATAATAGCTAAACAATACTATGACAACATCCAACTTAATACCTGCTACAACAAATTTCTATTTTACAACCATCTACCATTGCTTTCCTATCCTCAAACTATTATTTCTTTTCTATGACATATTCACAGCTTTGGCTATTTATCTGATAATGCTTGTGACTACACACTAATCATTTCTATTAAAAATAATCATAGCAAAGCTTATGTTTATCTTCTATCTGAAGCTAAACTATTATCTAATTACTTTATTTTACCAGTTCAAGCCATCTGATACTACCCAAACATCCAACTAAAATCAAACACATCAACACCTGTTTTTTTTATACCAGCACCTTTAGCTTCTATCTCTAGTAGCTTAACACAACCTAGAACCTCTAACACCTTATCTCTAAATCTTACAATTTGTATCCACAATGTTCAAAGATATAATAAAAACCTTAAATAGCAAGTTTGAAAAGATTATTGAATCTCTCATTTCTTGAATATTATTAGCATTACAGAAACTAAAATAGCAGAAGACAATGCTATTACCAAATTTTACAATTCAAAACATTTCTCTTACTTTTGGTCTTGTACTAACAGCTCCAAAGCAGAAACCACACTCATGATCCAAAAACATCTTACACCTCATATACACAATATTCTCACTTTTCCTAACTATGCTATTGCTATTGATTTCTTTTTTAAACATGACCACAAATTCTGAATAATATTTATATATCTATTATATGAAAATTCACAACTTAGACTTCAAATACAAAATATTATTATTCAATGGATTCAACAAGCAACTAACTGAAACATTCTATCTATAATACTAGGTGACTTCAATATACTACCTAACAACTCTATCTCTTCATTTATCAAATACAAATTATTGCAATTTTTAAAATATAATAATATCTACAACTTGGCAGATCATATAAATACTTTTTCTTATACCTGGCATAGTAGTAGACATTACAGTACTATTGATTACATCTGGGCCCACCTTCCCCTACTCAAATACCTCAACTTATTCTACTTAGATAATACAAAAAACTGTACTCAAAGTGACCACAAAATTCTTATATACTTCTGAACTTTTCTCTATGCCTTTATTGGCAAAAACAGACATTCAACCATAACTCAATGAAGAATCTTCAATTACAAAGCAATAAACAAAGAGCAATGGGAAACCTTTGCTAACCAAGTTACCTATAACCTTAATACAAACAAAACTCTTACCTCAATCCAAACTTCTGAATTACTAGAAACTACATAGCACAAAATCCAAACTAATATTATTATTATTTTTTTTTAAGTTAAAGTCCCTATCTTGGAAGTTGCGATGTTTTTATTCAAGTATATTAGGACATGGCATGCCACCA